ATAAGAGTCATATACTCAGGGAATGGTCAGGGTTGGAAAGGACCCTAAGATCATCTACCTCAGATTAATCTACTTGATTAATAATGATAGTAGATCCATTGATCACGGGTTTTGCTGAATATTGCACTTAAGAAAGTATTAGCTGGCAATTCCAGGATATCTTTTTTCCCCCTTCGTTTTCCCAACTGTCAGAAGAATGAGGCTTTGAAGCCTAATGAATGTAACTGGGAAAAGATGTCATTATTTTGTAGTTATCGAACAGTTGAACCAAATGAAGGAGGATGAACATTCTTCCTGACAGACACGAGGATCACCCATCATTTCATCAGACCCCATTTCCCAAAGCAAGCAGTTCTTTCAGCTTTACACTGGATTTCTGGTTACCTTACTCCAAACTACAGAAGTACACTCCTAGTTCCCTTTCCAGTGCATACGACGTGTTGGAATTCAGTTGCATACTGATGGCGAAGATATTTCTTCTGGAGAGTTTGATGGAAAACAAACTAAGTAGAAGAGCTGACAGGCTGGGGAGAAATGGTCAAATCCCAGACTGATTCTACTTCCCAGCAGATTACAGAGTGAGACCTGGCACAAACCCTATGGCCATTTGAACACATCACACTGCACAGAGTTCACGGACCCATTCTTGCAGTCCCAACGCCATAACAGGACGTGGTTCCACTTGCCTGCATAGACCACTTGGCAGGAACAAATCACTTGAAACTCTTCCTTCTTTCTAATTACTTCTGTTGCCTTTATCCAGAGAGATTCCAGAGAACAATTCCTCCCAAAACTGTTGCTCTGTAGTACTGCAACAAAAAAACCCTTGTCACTGCCTTCCTTGTGATGTTAGGAATATCCCTCAAAGATGAGACATGCTCAAGGTGCTAGGATAACACGAGCGTGACAGACCCCTGCCTGCTACCCTCTGCATATCTGCTCTGTGAAACATTCCCAGAGGCAATGCCATGTTGGAAATACAGAGCAGCCCTGAGGAGAAGGACTTGGGGGTGTTGGGTGAGGAGAAGCTCCCCATGACCTGGCTTCAGTGTGCGCTTGAGCCCAGTAACCCCCTGTGTGCTGGGCTGCACCCCCAGAGCATGAGCAGCAGCTCAGGAAGGGGATTCTCCTCCCTCTGATGTGCTCTGAGGAGACCCTCCCCCTGCAGTCCTGATCCAGCTCTTGGGGCAACAGCACAAGAGAGACATGGAGCTGTTGGAGCGAGTCCAGAGGAGGCCACGGATATGCTGCGAGGGCTGGAGCAGCTCTGCTCTGGAGCCAGGCTGAGAGAGCTGGGCTGGGTCAGCCTGGAGAAGAGAAGGCTCCTTAAGGGGAGACCTTAGAGCAGCTCCAGTGCCTGAAGGGGCTACAAGAAACCTGGAGAGGGGCTTTGGACAAGGGCCTGTCGGGACAGGACAAGGGGAATGGCTTTAAGGTGCCAGAGGGGAGACTGAGATGAGCTCTTAGGCAGAAGTTCTTCCCTGTGAGGATGCTGAGGCACTGGCACAGGGTGCCAAGAGAAGCTGTGGCTGCTCCATCCCTGTCAGTGTTGAAGGCCAGGTTGGACAGGGCTTGGAGCAACCTGCTCTAGTGGAAGAGGTCCCTGCCTGTGGCAGGGGCTTGGAACTGGATGAGCTTTAAGGTCCCTTCCAACACAAACCAGGCTGTGATTCTATGATTTTACTTTTACTGTCTCTCACATCACAGTGTTTGTCCTCTAAAATAAACTCCCAGGATTCAGTAAAGTCTCCAGCTCATCTTTCCTTGAACTACATCTGTCCTGTACCAGTCACCAATCCTGTGCACTTTTAATCATTTTTAGCTTTGATTTTCCCCTCTGTTTTGAGGAAAACTACACTTCTCTCTGGATCTCAACAACTTCAACAACATCATTTGAAAGCATTAGCAACAAAGAAACCTCCTGCAGTAGCAGCCAGCTGCTTGGATGTGAGATCAGATGATATTCCAGGAGCTCAGCATTGTATGCAAGTCCTCATGTGATGGACTAGGAAGTCAGCACGTTTATTTTCCACCATTAGCTCAGCTAACACAGACCAGGGCTTCAAAAGATGCAACAAAAGACAAACAAGGACTGAATGAATGCTTTACAGACTGAACACAGGCAATGGGCCTGAATGGTTATTGTAGGAGGCCACAATTGTCCATATGCATTTAAAACCAGACAATCTAAGGGGTTAAAAGGGAATTGTTTGAGTTATTCAGAATATAACCCAGAAAATGCAGCACAAACAACACAGGAAGCTTCCTGAGGATGAAATCCATGTGATTTGATTTTGTAACCCACTCCTGTTGTCCCTTTTCATGTCCAGCTGACAGGCCGCAACAGCAAACGGCACATCCTACACCACGATTATGCACTGGCAGAAGACGTAAGTAGATCAACTCCTACTGCTATCCCCAAACTTAGCCCGGGGACTGATGATTCAACAGCACCACCTAGTGATAAAAGCAGGAACAACTTGTTCTTGCGAGTGCCAGCTCAACATCATGAACTTCAGAGCTACTGCACAAATAGCAGTATCAACTTTGAGACCTCCCCTGCTTCGATGAGTTATAGAAAGAACTTGTCCAGGCAGGCAAAGTGTCACATTAGACATACTCATTAGAAATAGGCAATGGTGTTTCATGATCAGTACAAAGACACTACAAGCTGCACATCTGCAATAAATGGATTGGATTGAGAGTCACAAAGTTGGATAAAGCTGTAACTATCCCTAATGGATTGATTATAAGCAGGAAATTAAAGGTGTTTTCCTATTTTAAGGAGGATTGCTTTTCTTCATCAACTTCAGCCCCTGCAATACATGAAAGGAACTGTCTTCCAGGCAAGCAGACTTGGATCTCAGTCACAAACTTTAGAGAGGAAGATAACCCACGAAGAGTCTGATCTGCCATCCCAACTTAGAATCATAGGATCAATTAGGCTGGAAAAGACTTTTAAGCTCATCCAGTCCAACCGTTGCCCAGCACTGCCAAGGCCATCACTAACCCATGGCACTGAGGCCTCGTCTACATGGTGTGTGAACACTTGCAGGGACGGTGACTCCAGCCCGGCCCTGGGCAGCCTGTTCCAATGCCTGAGCACCCTGTGGGGAAGGAATTGTTCCTCAGCCCCATCTAAACCTGCCCTGGTGCAGCTTGAGGCCATTTCCTCTTGTCCCATCCCTTGTTCCTTGGGAGCAGAGCCCAGCGCCTCCTGGCTCCATCCTCCTGTCAGGCAGTTGTAGGGAGCGATAAGATCCCCCCCTGAGCCTTCTCTTCTCCAGACTGAACCCCCCAGGTCCCTCAGCTGCTCCCCATCACACTTGTGCTCCAGGCCCTGCACTAGTTCCGTTGCCCTTCTCTGGCCCTGCTCCAGCACCTCAGTGTCTCTCTTGTAGCGAGGGGCCCAGAGCTGAACACAGGATTCAAGGTGTGGCCTCACCAGTGCCCAGCACAGAGCAACAATCACTGCCCTGGTCCTGCTGCCACACTGGTGCTGATACAGATTCTTCAACTTGGTGGGGAAGAAATGAAAAGGCTGGTCTGTATGGAAGCATACCCCATTACCGCTGGCCAGGAAAGCAAACAGGAGTATCTCCATTTCAGAGAATTGTTGATTTTACCCTCCCAAAATTCCAATCCTAAAAGTTAACACTTGTGTCACGTTCGCTGCAGACTGTAGAGGTGATCAGAAAGTCATGGAAGTACTATGTAAGACCAGGTTTTCAACACAGTCTGCTGTCTACCATGGTTTTAGTCCTCAGGGACAGTTTCTTACTGCTCTACACTTTGCTCATCACCTATTAGAATATCATTACTCAATGCCAAACTACTACAGTTCAGAAAGCCAGAAGAGGCAGTCAAGTTGTCATGGGTATTTGAAAGGGCTTGATGCTCTGTGAAAAGCTGGTATCTTGAGGTCTGAGCCTCCAAAACCAGCATGCCAAACTACAGATCATTCCTGAAACAAACACAGGTAGGAAAAATCTACAATACTGAATTAACATTAACAAAATGAGCTGATGTGATTGGAATTGAACGTTTAAGAGTTCATGAAAAGCACTCACCTTTCCAACACACTATGTACTTATCTCATTTTAGAGCAGAACCCTACAGTGCATTCCTCAGTGCCTCCTCACTAGCACATCAAACTAGTTTAGTGATAGAGAAACTTTTCAAAGGGCCAATGGATCAGAGAACTCCATCTCAATGCTTGGCCTTCAGCTGCTTCTTGTAACATGAGTTTTACAGGGTTGAAAAACCAAGAGCTCTCCACTTGGAACAGGAAGACATTTAAATGAGGGGGCTCAACCTTTTGCTTTTGGTTTGTGACCACTGCTAGACCCTTTCTAAGTGATCAAAACAACAAGAATAACCAACAAAACCATAAACTCCCTTCCCTTTTCCAGCTACTGACTGTGGAACAACTCACATCAAATCACTTCATATTGTAATCTATCATAAGATTATCATATCACTATCATAATCAAACCACATTCACAGACCTGAATGCTGGGGTATAGTAGGGCAACATTTGGTGAAATAATACTACTTTATATGGTTAATTGCACCAGAGATGCCTTTTATTAAAAACACCTCAATGATAGTGATTGCTGAGCTATAGGATACTGCCTAGAGGACAAGTAAGATTGAAACGGTAATATTGCAGCTGCACAAATGCACAGTGTGTCCTACTCCATCTAGGCTGAAATGAGCAGATTTTGTTGTAGGAAACAAAAGAATAGCCTAAATTCTCCCTCGAGAAACTGTCCTGAGATCCTGGAATAAAAACCAAACCTCCAACCTGCAGAAATTAAAGGTGAGAAAGAGAGAGCACTACATAGAGGAGGTGACATCTGACAGACTGATGGAGAACTAAAAGCATCAAGGAGGAAAGCTTGATCATAAATGGGAAAAAAACACATCTGAGGCAGCGAAAAAGGTCACAATCACAGTATTTAATACTGACAATTCTATAAAGGCCATTACCATCTTACCCTCTCTGTCGTCTTTGAGGATATCTGTGATGCTTCATAATCCTTCTTTGTTTCCAGGAGTCTTTTTACAAGCCCACCTGTGGAAAAAACAGTACATTTCTTAGCACTGGTTGGCACTAAAGTGTTGTTTGAAACATTCAGACAATCAAATAGAACCCAATTGCTTAAACCTTTTTGTTAATGTTAATTTCCAGCAACAAGAACAGCATTCCATGACGTATTTTAATTCCTGAGCTCCAAGGTATTTCTCGATCGGTCTATTTTCTCCAATGTCCTCTAAATTGAACTGTACCATCAGTATCATTTACTGAATAACTCTTGGTCCAGAACCAACTCCTTGAGCTGTATGAACACGAAGGCTTTTCCTCTGCACCCCCCTTTTGGAAGAATTCAAGAACCGCAAAATAAAAGTTTATAGCTATTCCTTTGCAAGGAGATTTTGGATGCAAATAAGTGTATTTGCCCCAATTACATCCAGTGTAACCATAATAGAAGCCCCTGAATCAGAGATCTGAAGTCCCAAGTAAGCATAAACGTTAAGAAGTCTTCTAAAAGCTTTTCTACAGCTTGTCTTGAGCAGCCAATGCCATCTCCTTACAGCTGACAAGCTGTACCTGACACTGTAAGAAACATTCATTTCTGAGTTTGATGCAGAATGTTTAAACCTGCTGACATGAGAGTTGTATAGAAACTCTGTGCTGAACATCACTTGTAAATCCAGCTGCACAAGGAAACAAGACTGGGTTTGATTTGACTGAATTTCTGTTTTTTTTCTTGCAAGCTCCTACCCTCAGGAGGTATTTTGCTGCTTTATTCAGCATTCTAAGTGTTCAGCGTTTGTTTGAAACTCATGGGTTTATTATACATATCTATATATAAATATGTAAAAGCAAACATACCATGCTTTTGATCCTCAACCAGCTCCACTTCTGGCTCCTACACATGCAGGAAGACAGCTTTAGTTGGACAAAGTTGGCATTGGTCTAATACACAACTCTACCAGAATATTCAGCTAGAAGCTACTTAAACAAGTAAGTTACAAAAAAGGATGGAAAAAGGTTCTATAACGTGTAACATGAACAGACCATTTCCATATGTGGCACTTCGGGCAGTGGCAGTGCTGCCTCCACCACAAACTGGTCATCATCATCATCAGAAATCTGCTGGTCTATGATGACGTTTGAGACTGTTTTACCACTACCACTCCTGTAGGAGACACAATGAAAATGAAAACCTATTAAAATCTGCCCCAAAAGCCTAGTAAGATCTATCCAGAATAGAAGAGACAGCAGTACCCTCCTTTCTTCCCATAAAATAAAGCAGCACTGCCCAAGGTAGCCATCCTCCACTCATGGAAGGAAATACATTTTCCTTCTAAACACACTACTTCAGTGACTTATCAGAGATCAAGTAAGCCATTTTGACCACAGTTGCAAGTGGCAGTTTCAGCCTTTTTTGAAGATAAATATTCATTGCATATTTTACAGATCTTCTGCAGCGGCAGAGTAGGTGAACATTCCAAGGTTGTCTGTTTCTGGGTTTCCAAAGGCAAAACAGTTATGGTTTTGAACTTCCAAATGTGACAAATAACCATAACTTGTAGATAATGCATTGGATTTGCAGAACAATCAAACAAATAAAGTGGACTTGAATTTTCCAGTCTGAAACAATGATCAGAGGTGATCTTGGTCTAGTGGAAGGTGGCCCTGCCCACAGCAGGGGCTTGGAACTCAATGAGCTTTAAGGTTCCTTCCACCCCAAACCGCTCGAGGATTCCATGACCCATCCTAAAGCTGTTCATCAGCAGGTGAGACATAGAAGATCTGAGAAAACTGTGGCACAAGAGCTAAAAACATCTGTACCCACATTCCCTATTCCTTACCTTTCTGGAGGTAAGAGCTCAGCGCTTTCTGGACGTTTCACTCTGGGTGGTGCTGGTCTTGCACTGCCAGGACGGGGAATTCGCCTGAAATAGCAAAGAGGCTGTTTCATTTATAGTATAAAAGGAAGCCTGGTATGTCCATCCAAAGAAACAGACACATAAGAGCTGAGTAAACTACCCAATGCATAAACCCACTGAAAACATCTCTAATATACAACCCAATAGCACAACATTTGCTATCCTATTAGAGTCTAGGAAAATCTAGAAAATGTGTCTAAAACAAAACCCCCTATGATTTGTGTAAGACCAAGGCTCAGAAAGGACCTTAAAGCTCATCCAGTTCCAACCCCTGCCACGGGCAGGGACACCTTCCACTAGAGCAGGTTGCTCCAAGCCCCTGTGTCCAACCTGGCCTTGAACACTGCCAGGGATGGGGCAGCCACAGCTTCTGTGGGCATCCTGTGCCAGTGCCTCAGCACCCTCACAGGGAAGAGCTTCTGCCTAAGAGCTCATCTCAGTCTCCCCTCTGGCACCTTAAGGCCATTCCCCTTGTCCTGTCCCTACAGGCCCTTGTCCAAAGCCCCTCTCCAGGTTTCTTGAAGACCCTGATATAATTAAAAAAGCCTTTGCTGAGCAAAGGAAAAGTAAATTAGGATTTAAAAGGCAAGTTCACCTTATCCATAACACTGTACTTATGAAACACAGGTATGTAATGCTGTATTCTTCTCATTAGACTCTCCACACATCTTTCATATTTTAATAAGCACATCGAGGCAATTCGTGAAGTGTTTCAGATTTATTTTCTAAATCCATAATGTTAAAGTTTTCCTTATAGAAGGAAATGAAAGTGAATAAAGGGAAACCATACATGGGATAACACTTATTATTTTGTACCACTTGTAGAAACATCCTCCTCCAAGTTTCCTTGCTGCTTCCAATTGGACTGACTGACTGTGCCTCCAGGCACATCAGACTTTGATTCAAGGATAGAAGCATACCTTTGGATGGGCTGAGGTGGAAGGTCAAGAGGTACTTCACCATTTTCTGCAGGCTTCTCAGGAGCCACATCCTCCACTTCTTCTATTAAACAAAACAAACATAAAACGTTGGCTTAGGCAAATCTAACTTGTCTCACGACAGCAGTTTGAATCCTATCAGCACTACACTTGACCATGAAATCCAGCACAGAAAAGGCCTCTACGCTTATATAAAGTTCTGTATCTTGTGAACTTCCAGGTTTTCCACATCTTGGAGTGCGTGCAATTCAAAAGGGACACTGAAGAAAAACCTCCATTTTAAAATGCCTTGTTTCTTTATTTCTTTCTTAATACTGTGAAATTCCCTCGTCTGTGGAAGTGGCATCGTCTCAATTCTTCCACAGTTTCATGGTAACATTGACCCTGATTTGAGCAGGGGGTTGGACTGGCTGACATCCATCTGGCCATCCCGTTCAACACCAAGAGTTCTATGCTGATTCTCTTGGTCAAATAAATTTATATTGTTTTCAAAGAAACAGCTATCATAAATAAAGGAGGCCATGAAGATGATCAGGGGCTGGAGAAGCTCCTGTATGGAGACAGGCTGAGAACATTGGGGCTGCTTAGCCTGGAGAAGAGAAGCTGCGTGGAGACCTCACAGCAGCTTCCAGTGTCTGAAGGGGGCTACAAGGATGCTGGAGAGGGGCTCTTCATCAGGGACTGTAGCGACAGGACAAGGGGTGATGGGATCAAACTGAAACAGGGGAAGTTCAGGTTAGATCTAAGGAAGAAGTTTTTTTCCCTGTGAGGGTGCTGAGGCGCTGGCACAGGGTGCCCAGAGAAGCTGTGGCTGCCCCATCCCTGGCAGTGTTCAAGGCCAGGTTGGACACAGCGGCTTGGAGCAACCTGCTCTAGTGGAAGGTGTCCCTGCCCATGGCAGGGGGTTGGAACTTTAAGGGAGCTTTAAGGTCCCTTCAGGGAGCTTAAGGTCCCCAAACCAGTCTGAGACTCTATGATTCTATAGTCAGCTGATTACTTGCTCTCACGACATCCCAACATGCATCACACTAACATAACAGCTACTCAGGCGACAGAAGATCAACAGCTGCAAGGAGTCCTGCAAGCCTCATGCAGGTATACACTTTTATAGTGACCTGAAATCCAGCTGTTCCTCCCTTCTTGCTATACTGAGTGTATCTATGTCTAAAGAAAGTGGAACATAAATAACTTCAGGGGTTATGAGCAAAGAGCTGAGGCAGGCCAAAGCACTCTTCTGCCAGAAAGCTTTAAACATTCACTTCTTATTTAAGAGGCTGCCATGAATCCAGTGAGGATTCCTAATGGAGGATACCAAGGGAGAATAACTGGTGTGCTGACACATCCTCATTTGTGAGGAGAAAAAAAGCCCCAACAAAACAAAAAACCATCATGGAAAGGTTCAGAGCCTCAGTGCTCAAAATGATCATTTAAGATCATCAAGTCCATTAAAGGGGCAGTTCATCACTGCCTTCTGATTACTCCACTGTCTTCTGATTACTCCAAATAGCACCCAACTTTTACCTATCTGCAATGACTGTCAGACTTATTTCCCATTCCATCTTGTGAAAGGTATGAAATGTGAGTGACAGTTTCACCTCTAGAAGAACTTACAGGAAATAAAGTTTCATCAATGCACTACTGTGTTACACTGTCTGACTGAATAAAGCTGAAAACAAAGACCAGTCAATACTTGGTTCTTATGCCACCTGAGAAGCCAATCCAAATCAATACTGAACCTGTGGATATTCCTCATTCAAATTATAAAGAGAGGAATATAAAGTTATATTCCATAACAGATACATTCCATTAGACAAGACAGGTCCAAAGGATTAAAAGGAAGAATGGAAGTTCTCCCACTTGTGCAAGGTCACACAAATGTCTTGGCCAAGGTCTGACACAGCTCTGAGGCTCTGAAAGCCACAGGTGGACTGGGAAACAGCCTCTGACCTTCCACATCCATGGCATCAACTCCCCCAGTGAAGTCAAGCATCTGGACCTGAAGAACACAAGAATGCAGCTTTTTTGCTTAAATCTCAGTTCTTCCTCCTACATTTTGCTTCTATGGCTCCATGTACTCTGCAGCTAGATACAAATACCTCATTAGCAACATATGTCTTGGGAGCTATATAGAACTTGGAAAAAAAATGGAGAAATAAGAATGCAGAGACAGAATTTTCCTCTAAAGTCCTGTCAAATGCAAACACTAAGTGCAGCTCCCAAATACTTGTACAAAAAGGCAACATGCAGTGAGTCAGTTCTTACACAGAACAAGTCACCAAAGGCTTCACATGCAGCAGCCATGCACTGCCCTTGGGGTACTGCAAGCACTGAGCTCTGAAAAGGTGCAGAGGAGTAAGGAAAGAGAAACTAAAAGTAACTGTTTTATCAGGGAAAGTACAATTTTCAAGGAGGAATTTATCACAAGATGTGATTAAAACACAAGGGAGCAGTTGAATTAAGCATAAATCGCTCTCCTTAACTCATTTAGCTGCATGGATTCAAGTTCAATCCCAAGCGCTCCAGTTAGACTGTCCAAGGCTGTCAAGTTTTTAGTCTCCTACCTTTCTCTTCAAGTCCTGGTTCAGCTTGCTCTTGCAGTTTAGCAACACTGTCCTCTGAAATCCTATCTGCCACGCCCTTCATTTCCACAGCTTCTGGAACAAAACAGTTTATAGCCAAATGAAACCAAAGATACAATTAGAAGGTGAAAAGACAAAGCCATGCTAAATTCCCGGTGCTATTTCTTTAAGGGCTATCCTGCTTTAATAAACCATCTTGAGTGTAATAAATAACATACCAAGTTCACAAAGCCTTTTTACATGACTGCTGGTTGAACTCCTCATGCTCCTGCAAACTAATGGCAACTTCTTCAATTCAGAAACTGTTCACACATACTATTCATTAGCCTGAGAGCTGGTGAAAGAATACAATATTTACCTAATAAACTAATGACTAATGAATTAATTGCTAAAACACACCCTGTTGTTTGTATACTGTTTGGAATGCACAGTGTACTTGGGTTTGTTTCAGACTTTAAACACTTCTCAGACTAAAGCCATTAAGAAACTTCAAGCAAGAAAAGCTGATTTCTCATAGCTGAACTCCACACCTTGCTGGTAATGCCATAGAAGAGCCTTGTCCACAAACACAGTCCTCTTCTGTTGCTACCTAAAAGTGGCTTATTCTTGCAAAAAGACGTAAGATCATTTAATCTACCAATGATCTTCAATTCATTCCCCCAGTTACATTTGTACATCATTCCTGAAAATACGCCTGTGCATTGATTACACATGGTCAAATTAAACTACTCATACAGTTTGCAAGGTCTGTATAATATGGGCAGAATATTTAGCTTGAACAATACACACACACACACAACCTCCCTTCACTTGGAGTAATACATTCAGTGCCTAATGCTCAGTGGAAACATCCCACACTAGCAAAACCAGCCACGAAATTACTGCATGCAGCATAAAGCTGAAGCTTTCAGCGCATACAGCTGAATAGCAGAGGATCTGCTCCTCCACCCATGCCATGGGAAATAGCCACAACGATACACAGTCCATTGCAGCAAAAATGCTGAGTTCTACTACTGCAGGAGATGAGCACACAGCAGAGGGAGAACAACCAGCACTTTCATTTACCTGTGCAGACTAAGGCCAGGAGAAGTTGCCATTTAATCAAACTGAAACTAGCATTTAAACATTCAGCATCATCCTGCACAGGTTACCCAGGAGAGCTTAGCAGAAAACCCAAAGAGAAGCTCTGCCCAGAGAAGCTGTGGCTGCCCCATCCCTGGCAGTGTTCAAAGCGAGGTTGGACACAGTTGGAACAGGATCAGCTTTAAGGTCCCTCCCAACCCAAAGCACTCTGGGATTCTGTGATTTCCATTGAGAAAGTAATTCAGTGCCTTAAAGGAAACCTGTTCAGATCTCAGTTAAGAGCACAAGTTTTGCTGCAAGGCACATTGCAACTATAAAAAGCAGCCACTGCCTGAGTAGTAATAAATGTAATATTAACTATAAACCAAACCAACGCACATTTGCTCCAATACCATGAGGAATTTATTCATAACAGAGGTGAGCAAATGCTGGTGTGACTTAGTTTAGTTACCAGGACAGCAAATATACCTGCTTTTGCTTAATTAATCCTCCATTCACCATTTCAGTTTGGTTTATTACAATTGTTATTTAGTGATGACACGAAACCTTTGGCTTCTCCTGCTGTGCATTTGTTTATCTCTGTTAACAGTGGACAACACAGCACTGATTATCACCACTAACTACAGAGACCAGTGGGCAACAGGCATCAGCACAGCTCCAGGTTTTTACTCCCCTCTGGATTACTTACTATGTAAGTAAATAATGTAAGAAAGCATCTATGAGCACTACTCACCTACTGCAGCTATGTTGCATTAGAACAAAACAACTGATGCCCCAAAGTATTCATCACTTCAGTAAAGTGAAATTTGAGTGCACTGACTTGCTGCTTCATCAAAAAAGAATGCTTTTATAACATTTACCTTAAAGCCAAAACACAGCATTAACCATTGACCATATTACATTGATCCTAAAAGCTGGATCCTGATTTGAAAGAAGGGACAAACCTATACAGACATGTCTAGTTCAGGCTATCAAAAAAAATATTCAAACCCTGGGAAATAAGTTATAGGATCAGCAAGGATCACTAAGCAGTAAAATCAGACTATATTTAATAGAATCCAGATGGAATTTTTCAGCTGGAATATTATTAAAACCTCACAGCACACAAGTACATGAGATGCAATGTAAAATCTTCAATGTTCAAGCACCAACTTGAATTAAGCTTCTATGTCAACAGCCATCCATATCCAAAATGCCAGCCCTTTGCCAAGGCATTTTAGGTGCCTAAACGTCTATTCCATTTCCCACCTCTTTTAGTATTTTGTCTCAGACACATGGAAATCTGCTAAAACAGAAACCCAAAGAAAATGTGGGTGCTTGGTAAGAAACATGGCAACACACGATCTCTATACGTACATTAATATACATACATCTCTATACATACATAAATAACATTGACATTGCCCGATTTAAGTGTATGAAGATCTTCATGCTTCATTAGTCTAAACAGTATCAGGCTTTAGACAGAATGAGACATCAATTCACAGGTGTTATTGTATCTTCTGAACAGGGATGTTAAACTGATACATAGAATCATATGATCTCAGCCTGGTTTATGCTGGAAGGAACCTTAAAGCCTCGATGGGCAGGGACACCTTCTACTAGAGCAGGTTGCTCCAAGCCCCTGTGTCCAACCTGGCCTTGAACACTGCCAGGGGTGGGGCAGCCACAGCTTCTCTGGGCACCCAGTGCCAGCGCCTCAGCACCCTCACAGGGAAGAATTTCTGCCTAAGAGCTCATCTCAGTCTCCCCTCTGGCAGGTTAAAGCCATTCCCCTTGTCCTGTCCTGACAGGCCCTTGTCCAAAGCCCCTCTCCAGGTTTCCTGTAGCCCCTTTAGGCATTGGAGCTGCTCTAAGGTCTACCCTTAAGGAGCCTTCTCTTCTCCAGGCTGAACCAGCCCAGCTCTCTCAGCCTGGCTCCAGAGCAGAGCTGCCCCAGCCCTTGTAAGTGATAAAGCTACAAATTCAGGGTTCATGGCTGTATGATTCATCCCTATAGGAAAGCATATTTTGCCTCACAAACCTCTTTCACCTTACTAAAATACCTTTAAAACATACCTTAAGTCTTACTGAAACAAAAATATTGTGCTGAACGCTGCTCTGCTCTATACATTGAACAAACCTTTCCACATGACTTTATGTAAAGGTAACTTACAATAATTGTATTAACTTGGGACATACTGTCCACTAATCCCCAGTGATAGGAAAACCAAAACAAGCCCAAGTTTTGCAAGGCAAATTTGTCTAAATTTGCTAGATTCTTAAGCAAAGAAAGAGCTCTTGTGAAACTAAAAGACCAACTGAAAAAGGGCGCTTTGAGACAACACAAGGAATATCAACAGCAGGCTGAATTTATATCTGCAATCGTGCATGAGGAATGTGAGCAAAGGGAACCCAGCACCACTCTCTATCAAACCCATGCAGAAAAAGTTGCCTGTTGGCTTCATAAATGCAGAATGGGAGTATAAAACAAGAACTGAAAATAAAAAACATGGATAGTTGAGTATTTCTGCTATTCCTATTCAATAAACCTCCAGCATATTTAATAGAGATAATATCCTCCCTCTAGTTACCTTCTCCTCTGGGTCTGGCGTGTTGCCTTGCTCCTTTTGTTGAAGGCTGCCTTGAGATTCCTGAAGAATTTTCATTCTTTAAAAAATAAAAGCCCACAAATTTATATAATTATCCATAAAGAGATCTTTTTTTAACATAAATCCACTTACATGTGTTGCTTTTTTATCTATATGTATCATACATAGAAACTACTCATGAAACTGACCTATATAAGATTACTTCCAGTCTATTTTCCTCAGTCTGCAGCTGTTTTCCTGGATACATGCTATTTCCTTTTACATAAACCAATATGATTAGATTTCATTATTGTAAAGACAATTCCCAAATGTAATACTAAGAGTATCCAAGGCAGAGCAATCTTGTGAAATCTGTAGAGCATCTGTGACACCATTGCTCGTCTCGGGATAGAATGCTTAGCTACCAGTGAGCTACAAAACAAGTAAGATGCTTACAGTCACTTGTATGATTCAGCTACATCAGATACACAGCTCCTCTTTGAGAAATTCCATTTCAGAATAGAAGAAAAGACTAAAAACCTGTGCCATGAGACCTGCATAGTCCTCTACTCAAGTGGTAACTCCCCTGGACAAAAGAAGAAATGGGGCTTGCGGGAAAGCCCAGCAGAGAAGCAGTAGATGATCTGAAAGTGTAACCAGTGCAGCAAGAAGGAGAAGAGTTCCAAAGTGGAAAACATCAAACTGGATCAACATTCAGGCCACTTCTGAGGCCTCTGACCTTACTCGAAAATGATTCAGAGGCCAGGAAATGAAAGCAAGCAAGCACACACAAGGATTATTCTGTTTTCTTTGCATAGCAGGAAGGTTAAACCAGATGGATCTTTAAGGTCCATTCCAACCTGAACCATTCTATGATTTCTATGCCTGAAATGAAGAACACCTGACTGACAATACTTTCTGCATGTTACACATGTCAATAGTCAGGCAGCCATGGAAAGGAGCAAGTTAAATCAGCAAGTCCACTTGCCTGGAGGGTGAAAAAAAAAGATGTGCTTAAGTCACTGCCTCTTGTGAGATGAGATCAAAACCAGTTCCAAGAGACAAGGCCACCTGGACTGCAATGCCCTTTGTGTGCAAAGGAAGAACTGAGCCCATGCACAGGTAGCACCAGAGGCTAAAGGTAGCTAGAGCGCTTGCCCTACAAAAAGGCTCAAAACATCATCACAGCAAATGCAGGCAGAGGGGCAGGTCCATTACTACAGGCTGGCTGTGATGCAGATTTACTACTCACCCTACCTGAAACACAGCTGGGGCCCAAATGCCTGCAGGGAAGGTATAAGGTGTAAAGGAGGACTCCTGCCAGCCCAACAAAAGTCCTGGATATGAGATCAGGCTAGCAAGGAGTCCACCTCCTTACACCAATCCTGGCTAGCAGAAGGGGCAGACTTCTGTTTATGTGTACTGCATATACTAACAAACCAGTAACTTTCAGCAAGCCATTCATGCTTCTAATAACTTCCATAGAATCCCAGACTGGTTTGTGTTGGAAGGGACCTTAAAGCTCACCCAGTTCCAAGCCCCTGCCACAGGCAGGGACACCTTCCACTAGAGCAGGTTGCTCCAAGCCCCTGTGTCCAACCTGACCTTGAACACTGCCAGGGATAGGGCAGCCACAGCTTCTGTGGGCAGCCTGTGCCAGCGCCTCAGCACCCTCACAGGGAAGAACTTCTGCCTAAGAGCTCATCTCAGTCTCCCCTCTGGCACCTTAAAGCCATTCCCCTTGTCCTGTCCCGACAGGCCCTTGTCCAAAGCCCCTCTCCAGGTTTCTTGTAGCCCCTTTAGGCACTGGAGCTGCTCTAAGGTCTCCCCTTAAGGAGCCTTCTCTTCTCCAGGCTGAACCAGCCTTTCCTGTCCTTTTGCCTAACTCCCTGATTTCATTAGCAACATTCATTGCTACAGTGGAAGCAAACACCTCTGTACACAACAAAGTACAAGTGATTTATAAAATGCCATCATTCTGTTTCTGCACTTTCTATCCCCAGAACACACCCTGCACCCTATTCAAAATCCCATGAGGTTTAGAACCTCATGGGATTTCCTCCTTATCTGCTTTTTGTAGTTTGTGTGAATTGATAGTCCAAGCAGTTTGCATCCAAGATTTATTTCCAGCCCTGCTGATAATGTCCGTAGCAGAAATGAGAACTGCAAATTCTTCCATTTCTACATAAATGATCAAGGCCAGGCTGGACAGGGCTTGGAGTAACCTGCTCTAGTGGAAGGTGCCCCTGCCTCGTGTTAGGGGGCTGGAGCTGGATGAGCTTTAAGGTCCTTTCCAACCAAAGCCATTCTATGGTTCTATGTTCCACTTCTGTAAAAGAGAAATGATAAATTACATTTGTCTTCCATTCTATCTTGCATATAGGATAATGGGAAATGTGGAGAAGGCGAACTCTTTGGAGGTGCTTTATAGACAAGTGAGCAGCCTATGCAAGAGTCAGCTTCAACAGTTAGTTCAGGTCCTTTAGAAACTACATCTCCTTTACCTCCATGCTCAAAATTCCAGGCAGTCAATCAGGCAAAAGCAAGCCCTACATCCCACACTTCAGCAAAATCTAGCTGCACGGCCATGGTCCTGCTTTGACAGAAACTAGTTTTCACTTACACTGTCTTAACTGGCTTTTAAAATCATTACTTAACCCACACCAGAGCTACCACTATTTTTGTTTCACTCTTGAACTAGTGGTACATTGCAAAGCAAAACAGAAGTCCAAAACATCAAGCTAATACTGAAGTGGTTAATCTTAATCGTACTTCATCTTAATTACTACCAGCTTTCACAATCACAACACTACGCAAGCAGAAGTAAAGCTTACATCCCAGCAGCATGCGGCTCTATGGGCCTGCAGGCCACATCTGTCACATTCAAGCTTCAGCAGCTCTTTGGGTGATGTAATTATTAGCACAGGTGGGGAAGGAGTTGAGAATAGGTGATGAAGCTTCTGCAGGAGTGGATTTAGTCATTTATTTATGTCAGGTAGTGACTACAAACAGTGCTGAACATTAATGTAGAGCCACATGTGCACGCTGGCAACAGGGGCAAAGTACAAGCTAAAACCTGATCACTATGGTAGCACACAAAAACATAAATCCTGCCATATTGATGGGTTGAGTCTTTCCAAAGGGCGATAAAAGAGGTCATTCTTTTTTCTTACAAATTCATAGGCTCCAAGACTTTGAAAAGCAGTCAGTGGAGAGTAAGAAATCTTACACTTCATCTCACACCATCCTGGAAATCATATACTGGAGTGGAATCCTAGGTGGATGTATGCACACATCCTCGATCAAGTAATTACATTCCTATTTGGAGAGGATACAGGAGCCTGCTGTAAAGCCTCCAATCTGCTGTTTTTCCCTCACTCTTAACCTCTAAAAAGGTTGACTTTCATTTTGAGACATGAGCAAACCATGATTTCTAATGTTGCAGCAGGTCAAGAAGAGCAGTATGCTTTGAAAAGACATTAACTCTTCCTCCTTTCCATGCAACAACCAACCTCTACATCCATGAAAAGATGCAATGAACAGTTTCTATCAGTGATTTTATACTGCTCTCACAAACAATTCTGTACATGTCTGTTACACTTCTTCCAGCCACATGCACTCCATGTACAAAGGCAGAAAAAACACTCCCCACTCAAGAAAGGAAGGGGGACAACTCATTACTGCTCACTCTCAGTATTGACAGCAGCCCTGAGGACATGGACTTGGGGGTGTTGGGTGAGGAGAAGCTCCCCATGACCCAACTTCAGTGTGTGTTTGGGCCCAGAACTCCCCCCGTGTGCTGGGCTGCACCCCCAGCATGTGAGCAGCAGCTCAGGGACAGGAGCTGAGGAGACTTTTTACTCTGCTTTTACTATCAGTTTTGTATCGTTGCTCCTTCCTTCAAACTCTCTGTATTTCCAGTATTTACTCCTAAACTGGACATCATTCTGAACAGGCAGAATTTATTCATGTGCAACAGCAACAAGGAAAGAGCTCTACTTGCTCAGGTCAATCTAACTGCTGTGGTGATTGGAAAAATAGCCATCAACTGTCTCTTCCTCACAAGATGGTGTTCTCTTGGTGGCAGCTGCTGCTAATTCAAATCTTTCCAACCCAAAAAGCACTATTGGAAAGATCCTGCTTTTTAAACTCTAAGTTTGAAGGATGGATTTCTACAGTAGGGGCCAGCTAGAAACAACTGACACCAAAAAGAGAGGGTCATTCACAGCACTAGAACAAAACTGAGTCATGGCCAGCAGATTTCTGTGCAATGGCTCTCTCTCCTGCTTCTGTCTGGTTTTCACTCAGTACTTGTTTCATTATCCAGTCGAGTTCCAACAGAAACAGAAGTTCATTAGATATGACTTCGAGGCTGATTCAAATGACCGGTTCCAGAGCAATACAGTTTGTAGGGCAAAAATAAAGTCATTCTGGAAGTGGCCAAAAGTGACAGGATATTACAAAAGGCTTTAGCCAAGAGGCTCAACTGCCATCTGTAAAATGGAAGAGACCTTTCCAACATGTTTGGCCTTAGGGGTAAATGACATACCTGTTCTGCAGCCACTTTCATCTAAACAGCTCAGAAACTCTATGATCCCGGTGACCTTTTGTCAAAAGCTAAAGGTCTCTTTATTATTGAGAAAGTTAATAAGTCATGCTATGAAGTGTTTGTTTTAAACATGACTTTTACCTGAGGTGGACTGAGAGCTCACAGAACACAACCCAAGCTGACCACAGTGTGGCAGACAACAGCTAGCCTAGAAGCAGCAAATAGTCTTCTGATTGCCACGTGGCAGCCAAATGTCTCAATTCAGACTTAGACTTGCTCGCTTTTACTTCCAGATAATTATAGATACTCATGTGAGACTACGACATGGTGGGTAGCATACACAGTTTCTGCAGTACCAGAAAAATACATTGAAATCAATGTCAATATTTCAGTATCATCTTAAAGCTGGCTTCTGATTATCAGCAGTAAGAAAATGTAAGACTTACATGAACAGAGATGGAAAGTTATTAAGACTCCTAATATAGAATCATAGAATGATTTAGGTTGGAAGGGACCTTAAAGCTCATCCACTTCCAATCCCCTGCCACAGGCAGGGACACCTTCCATTAGATCAGGTTGCTCCAAGCCCGTGTCCAACCTGGCCTTGAACATTGCCAGGGATGGGGCAGCCACAGCTCCTCTGGGCACCCTGTGCCAGTGCCTCAGCACCTTCAAATGGTTTCACTTGTATTCTACTTACAAAAAGCTAAAGACAGATGTTGAAGTGTAATTAATTATGCAGCAGAGGCTGCAAAACACAAGTCAATACTTCTCATGTGCATAAAGACATAAAATTTTTCACTTTTTAATACACTTGGTTCACTGCCATGTTTCTTAAATGGAGTTCCAGTAGTTTAAATCAGAGTAAATCCCTGGAAATAAAGGCATTACCCCACTGTGAAACTACTGTAAGGACAGGAAGATCAACTCCAGTCCATTAGATGCACCTTCCACTTATTGCATGCTGGAATTGCCTCTAAATCACTTGGTGCAGCTATCTTAGATCTCTAGCTCTAAAAATTCACTGGGGGCATTTTCATTTCACTTCTCTCTTCCACAGTCTTCAGATGATGACCATTTGTCACCCACTGGTCTAAAGTGTGTGTTTTCATCACCTAAAACCCAAGCAGCATTTACTGTTACACAAGCAAGTAGAGGATAGCAGGTCATCTATATCTAAGGTAATAAACCCACATGCCTTGGAATCACTCCCAAAAGCACTTAAGAGGGGAAATGAAACTTTACTGCCCCAGTGTATTATTGTGGTGCCCAAGATCACGCCGAGAGTTTGGGATGAGGTTCAGTATTTCCATTACAGACCCAGTTTGCAGGAAGTTGAACTTGGCCAGGAACATTTGCTTCAGGCTAAAAAGTATTTTATAAGCTCTCACTCCAAGTGCCAAGAATTTCAGAAGTTGCCTTGGATTTCAGTCAAATAATAGCAATAAATTTGTCATCTCATGCAGAAGACACAATGATGTCAGTGGCCCATAGACTCTCAACAGAGACTCCTGCTAGACTTGGAATCCTGCCTGTTTTAGCCTAGCCTGAGCTGCTTCAAGTTAGCTTACTGGAGTCTCACTCTTTAAACATTTAGCCATATGGTTCTGTAACTCCTCAAAGTGCCTCAGGTCAGGAAGAAGCAGCAGATGCAGATGCAATGGTATCACGAGCAACAGCTACTGTTCAGAGGCAATCACTGAGTTGCTCTTCTGTCCTGCCATCATCCAGCTGCAAAACACATGCTCAGATGCAACACTGGACTCACTTGCTTTCCAAAAGACTCATTTCTATTAAAGTTCAAAAAACCTCCCAAATAATATGACAGCTTTCCAGGGAAGATTCAGTGGAATAAACAGAAAGCTTTGAATGAACAAAGAAAGCATAAAACCCCACACAAATAAACAGACAAGCATCTATTTTACAGCCCTAAAAGTTCCCATGTACCTTTCAACCCTACTTTCCTTTGAAGCAGAGTCCCAAACCATACTAAAATGCAACACTTCCAATATTCAGCTTCCCAGATGTTACCCACTACTAACCTCAAGTTGGCACGTGCCGTCTTCAGTTGGCCTCTGTGGTTTTCTATGTGTGGATTCCTCAGCATCTGCAGACTGAAAAGAAAGCAACTGGTTTAGATCCAGCATGCTGAGGAGCTAGCTGCTTACCTGGATAAAGTGAAAAGGGAAACGAGCATAGAGTAGAACTGAGCAGATTACAACGTGCATCGAGGTATCTTATCCATCTACCTGCCCTCTTTACCTTGCTTGCCTGCACAGAATCCCAGACTGGTTTGAGTTGGAAGGGACATTAAAGCTCCTCCAGTTCCAAACCCTGCTACAGGCAGGGACACCTTCCACTAGAGCAGGTTGCTCCAAGCCCCTGTGTAGAGCCTGGCCTTGAACACTGCCAGGGATGGGGCAGCCACAGCTTCTCTAGGCACTCTGCGCCAGTTCATCTCAATCGTCTCTCTCTGGCAGGTTAAAGCCATTCCCCTTGTCCTGCCCTACAGGCCCTCTCCATGTTTCTTGTAGCCCCTTTAGGCACTGGGAGCTCTAAACTCTCCCTGAAGCCTTCTCTCCTCCAGGCTGAAAAAGCACAGCTCTCTCAAACAACCTTGTTCTCTGAGTAATACCAGGAATGAACCAGCATGTAACACACCAGAAAAGGAGAATCGAGAGTATTTAGAGGAGAAAGACAGAAGAAGAAAGAACAAAACAAAAGGCAATGAAGAGATAGCTCCAGGCCATCTAGGACTTTACACTGAGAAGGCCTGAAGTATGGGGAAGTGGTGGATGTATTCCTTTTCAGAGATGTAGCAGAGTCCAGAGATATGCATGATATGATGATATGCAGAGTCCAGTGCAAACAGAAAACCCTTGCAAGAATTTAGATGGCTGGAAGCCAGCAGCTTAATTTAGAAAGCCAGAAAAGTAATACAGATATGCAACTCCATCCTGTCCTGCTCCAGAGGAAGTAAGCTCAAAGTGAGACTACTTACGGCCCAAAGGAAATCTCTTCATCCTCACCTTCCCTAAAAGCTGCAAGAGCAATATACATTGAAGGGAAGACATGTGAGGATATAAGTACATAGCAATAGTTGCTACCACCACTCTCTGCCAAACATAACCTAATGTGATCAGAAGAATTCAGTCATGCAGAGCTCAGAATAGAAACTGCTTCTCAGAGGTTCAAAAAGCAAAGTCAGATGAGGCTGATGGCTGGAGGCGAGACATATCAGGAGAGATACATGAAGTTACCCATGACCTCAGTCACACTCTGACCAGATGAAATCCACACTGAAACTTTCATCTCATGACAGTAATTTCTATTCAATAAAGTACATGCCAGGTCAGCAGAACAAACATTCAGCCTCTAGCACAAACATTCTGATCTGAAATCAGATTTCAATTACCTTTTTCTCTGCTTTATCATTTCCATGTTCTCTTAAGCGCTCTACATCTTTTTCTCTGTCCCTTTTTCTATCCCTTTCCCGATCTTTCCCTCTCTCTCTGTCTTTCTCCCGTTCTCTGTCCCTAGCCTTATCTTTGTCTCTTCCTTTCAGTGTGTCCTTTTCTCTTGCTCCTTCATATTTTTTCTCTCTTTCCTGTCCTTTATCATGCTTGAGTTCATCTTCTTGTTCTATGTCTCCTCTGCTCCTGTGTTTTTCTGTTTCTCTTCCTTTCTTGGTTGTTCTGCTTCTTTCCCTTTCTTGTTTTTCTCCTTCCTTAAACGTGTCTCTTTCATGGTCTTTGTGTCTGTCTTCATTATCCTTATGCTTATTGCTTTCCTTTTCCCTTCCTTCACTCTCTTTCAAGTCTCCTTTGGCTCTTCTGCCTCCACTTGAGCTTCTGTCTTTAATTTCAGAACCTCCTCTACTCTAAAAAGAAAGGAAAACTGCACATTAATTCATACATATGGCAACTCTATCACACAGTTACTTTACACAAAAACCACAAACTAAAAACCCAACAAGACACAAACAATGGCAGCCACTGTCCCCCACAACACTTGCCAAATCCTACCTCTTTATCTCTATGGCTCTTTCGCACCTCTGATTTGGATTCTCTGCTTTCTTTCTCTCGAGACTTAGAGGTGGGAGGTTTCTCTTTAGCATCAGCTTTTTCTCCAGCTAAGATCCTTTTAACAGCAGCATCACTGGACAGCTGCAAGGAATAAAAAATCATCATTCAAATCATAGAATCCCAGAGAATCCCAGACTGGTTTGGGTTGGGAAGGACCTTCAGATCATCTAAGGTCATAGGCAGGGATGCCTCACACTAGACCATTTCACCCAAGGCTTTGTCCAGCCTGGCCCTGAACACTGCCAGGGATGGAGTATATATGAGTAAATAATCTCATTAAATATCTCCTTTCTCCCTAACTCTGTAATCAACATGACTTGGGGGTGGTTTGGGGTGGTTTCTCCTTTGCTTTTGTGTTGCTTTTTATAAAGAAAGCTCATTTTAGACCTGTGACAGATTGTTTCCAAAAGAGCAGAAATAATGCTCTTCTGTCAAACACCTCTTTGTAAGTCTTGTAATAATGTGATTGTATAAACCAGAGCTACCTAAATACATTGTGATTTTTAGGTATTTTAACACAATAGGCATCCTCATTGCAAGAACTGAAGTAGTTTTCAAAACGGGAAAGTAAATGACTGTCAAATCCTTAAACCATGACTGCTGCATTGCTTAATCATTCTTAAAACCACACTATGTTCTATCTACATCCACTCTTGGGTCACTCCACTTTCATCTCATACTTGTTCAAGCAGCAACAGTCACTAAAGAAAACAAAGCTACATTAAGAATCACTTTCAATAAGCTGCAGTTACAGTGGTTAAAAAGCATCTAGATCATGTATTAAGAAGACAAGCTACTATTAATCACATCATTCAGACAGAAAGACAAGGTTTCGTGCCCAAGTGGCAAAGACTTTGACTGCATTAACCAAAAAAAGTGGGAAAAAATCATCATCCCACTGCCTGGGCATTCTCCTTCCTGAAGAAAACTAAACCTGATCTTACCCTGGGGGTCGACTCCTGATTCTCTCCTGGTTTGTAAATGCAAACCTCTGAATTTTGGTGGGGTTTCATATTTGGACACTCACTTCTGCACCTGAACTAACTCCCAGCTCAGCACTAAGAGTCTTAAGCTAAAGACTTGAAGGAAGTCTTTGCCACAATGCACATGGAACTTAGGTTTCATCCTCTGGATATTGATTCTTATCACACCAGTCTACAAAACCGTTCCATCAAAGACATTTTCAAACTCATCCAGTCTCTCTGCATATGTTAATGAATTTCAGCCTTCCTCATTTCAAGCAATTCTCTTCTGCTGCATTCCCATCTTCAAACCAACCCAACCGATCAATCAAAAAGATACAGCACATAGAAAATCACTTTCATTACATGAATCAGAGATTTGACTACAATTTTAAAGAAGCTAAAGTCAAAGGTGGCAGCATCTAGTCATAGAATTAATATATCTGACTCTTTGTATTATTCTTCAAAGCTAATAAATGTTATTAAATGATCAAGGAATCAGTTGAAAAATGGAAAAATGTATACACCATTAAAAGCACTACAATATCCAGACTGTGTTTGTGTGGGTACCTGGCTCAGGCTCTGCTAAGATGATATCCTACCTATCTGTTGTTATAAGTATTAACCCACCATTTATTTTGTGTAATGATATCATCGTATCATGGAATGGTTTGGGTTGGAAGGGACCTTCAAGCTCATCCGGTTCCAAACCCCTGCCACGGTCAGGCACACCTTCCACTAGAGCAGGTTATCCACTAGCAGATAAGTGTCAATAAACTCTGTTACAAATAACCTCTGAGAAGATAACACTACATGTGTAACATAAACCCAGTGAGATCATACCTTATTTAAGCAACACTTCCCAATTGCCTGAAGAAATTCATTGGTTTTCTCAGGTTCATGCCCAGCCACAACACGCGCTGGTTTCACTGACAGTGGCTCTCCTGTAACCATCACAACAGCATCAATTGCCTTCTGAAGGAAGCTGATTTTGGCATCTTTATCCTGGTAAGGGAGAAATTCAGAAAGAATACTGAGACTCCAAAATATTTCCATGCATCACCTAAAGACTAAAAAATCTTAGGTGGGAGGAAGAGTTCATAGAATCATAGAATCACTGCCTGATTTGGGTTGGAAGGGACCTTAAAGCTCATCCAGCTCCAACCCCCTGCCACAGGCAGGGACCCCTTCCACTAGAGCAGGTTGCTCCAAGCCCCTGTGTCCAACCTGGCCTTGAACACTGCCAGGGATGGGGCAGCAACAGCTTCTCTGGGCACCCTCTGCCAGCACCTCAGCACCCTCACAGGGAGGAGCTTCTTCCTTAGACCTAACCTGAACTTCCCCTGTTTAAGTTTACACCCATGCAACAGGAGCACTACTTGGTTTGTAAGGTCAGGAAAGAGGCCTTCCCTTGATTTATAGTTAGTTATTTATTTCTGATTAACAGATGACAGCATTGATAATGGCTGAACATTGAATAGGAATATCCAAATTGGAAGTATAACTTTCTCTTCCTGACGCGTTCATCATTCAGCTCCAGTGCATTTGAAGACTGCTCTAAGACCGCTGGCAACCTAGTTTCAAGCACTACATGTTAAAAAAGATACAGATTAAGAACTGGTTGTAAAAGAATCACTGAAGAGTTTTAAGAGGACTGTTACAGCCTATATTGCTCAGAAGGACAGCTCTTGCCCTGAGTATTTTTCCCTACAGAAAGCCCAAAGTTACAGGACTTATAAGAGTCTAAACTGAGGGACTCAGATGCTTGTACACATACTTTACAAACCGGACTTAATAGCGAGTAAAGAAAACATACAAAAGGCAGTGGGAAAGGGACACAGGCACATCCTTTTATCTCCACAATGACCAGATGTGTTTTAGTTTGATGATTACAAACAACTTCCCCCAAGCGCTCTTCAGTAGAGATGATGTCTTCTAGTGATCAGGCAAAATCAGAAGTAAAATAAACACACCCCCACCAAGTAAAACTGTACGGGAGGGTTCCTGGCCCCAAAGATGAAATCAGGCTGGAAAGTCTCTGCAGCTGTAGAATACTCATCACGGGGAAAAGAAAAAAGGGTTTTGTAATAAAACATAATGAAAATCAAGGAATATTTACCAGCACAGTCCAGCAGTTACTCACTCATCCCTTACACTCATGAGTGGAGATAAAGGAAGCATTGTACTAACCTGTTAAAAAGTAATCCCATATAAGAACAACTCTGTACGGGTGGGTTTATGTGCTTTTGAACAGATGCCTACTAACTACCTCATTCAAACTGATACCTGTAAAGCAGCCACTGCCACTGCAGTTCATTCAAAAAAGGAACAATTGTAATTACTCAGTAAAACACCTGACCTTGCACCACACTTCCTGTCTGAGTATATCAGGTACACAGATCTACAACAAACTGGGTCAAATTTGACAGACATACCAATACAGACACCTCAGCTGAGGAAGGCCAACATGCTCTACAAGCCATCAGGTAGCACCATCTACTTCTGTGACATGTAATAAGTGTCACAGAATCATAGAATCACTGACTGGTTTGGGTTGGAAGGGAACTTAAAGCCCACCCAGTTCCAACCCCATGCCACAGGCAGGGACACCTTCCACTAGAGCAGGTTGCTCCAAGCCCCTGTGTCCAACCTGGCCTTGAACACTGCCAGAGATGGGGCAGCCACAGCTTCTCTGGGCACCCTGTGCCAGCACCTCAGCACCCTCACAGGGAAGAACTTCTGCCTAAGATCCAACCTGAACTCGCCCTGTCTCAGTCTGAACCCATCACCCCTTGTCCTATCACTTCAGTCCCTGATGAAGAGTCCCTGCATACTTGTAACCTCCTTCAGACGCTGGAAGCTGCCCTGACATCTCCACACAGCTTCTCCAGGCTGAAAGTGTCATCTGGAGCTTACTAAAGCCACTCGTGGTATCTGAGGTCCCAGAGCCACTCTCTGTAAACAAGAGTTGGGTTCTGCGGAAAGCACATGCACGATAGTTAAAGGCATGGGAAGACAGTCTCCAGAGGCAGGGTACTTCCCGTCTTGTGACTCTTCCAAATGGATTAAAACAAACAACTGCCACATAGCTGGGATTTTCAGATTGTCAGCATTAACCTCAGGGACACATCACCCTCACAAGTGCTCTCTTCCTTCAAACATTAGAAAGGGAAGGGAGGAAATGCTGCAACCTCTTCTGTTAAAATAGTCACCCGCCCTCCCAAGGACATATGCAGTCTATTAATTTAGGGAAGGAGACAGGCCAATACCCTAAACCAAACATTAAGGAATCCTCATGCTTTAAATTCTCTTTACATCTCCCTCCAATTAACTGTCATGACTATACATCCCTAAAGCAAACTAGAACTCACTGAAGTCCATGTGCATGCTCTCCAGCCTAGATTTGGCTCATGGGATGCTGTCAGCCTGCCTCCTGCATGTTTCTATGCAGGAGGAGGAGGCCAGCAACCCAAGCAGAACATGTTATCCCCAACAGTGGAGACACTAAAGGTAGCACAGAAGAAGCAGAGGGTACTTCAGGACCCCACTGCTATGTCCAGGTGAAAGAGGGAGTTGAAACTAGAAACAAAGATGGTTGCTGCATGCATGTGTTGCTGTGTAGCACATAATGGGATGTTGAAAGCATGAACCAGCCCTAGCAGCCACAGAGGCTGAACCATGCGCTTTAGTCTTTTCTAAATTCCTTCTCCATACCCTGTGATCTGCAACAACACAGCTTACAAAGAGGACCTGCCCGTTCTTCCCAGCCCACAAGCAAATTGTGTGTGGGCTACAGCACTTTGGAGTATGTCACGATGGGTACAAGCCTGATCTTGCTTTCTGAAAGTATCCTGCCCATTCCAAGTCTGTGCATCTCCTGCCAGATGTTCACACCCCAGAGCATCATTCCCTGGTGTTACATAAAGCAGCTCAACCTCACATAAAAATACATACGGCTACTCAAATCATGGACTCTGGCTGCTGCTTTCAGGCTCTGGCTCTCTGTGGGCAGTTTTGGTCTCTAACTGACACAAGGAAGCAGCCTATGGGAGCAAAGTCTTTCTCCTGACCAGTGTTTTAAGAGAGGAACACAATCTAGAGGTGTTTTCCCCCACACTACAGTAGTTGGTTCTCCTCTGCCTGAACTCTTGAAAAGCATCATTTCATGGACTGTGTAAGAAAAACTCTCAGATAGATACTCAAGATTGGTGCAACTTCACAGCTATCACGGGAAGTAAATACAAGCAAAGACCTACTCAGCAATTGCTAAGAAATTTGCTTTCTCCATCCACAAAGTACTGAGCTGCTCTTCATCATAAAACCCACGACAAGCTTCAATAGGGACAGTACCAACAAAACAACAATCTGCTGAGTAAGTACCAACAATAAGAACAGTCTCAGAAATAAACACACATCTCAGACTGACAATTAGCTCTAAGAAGTGCATAAACCATCCCTGCAATTGGCTGCATGGATGACAAGCTGGGCCCACAGACCTCATACTTTGAGTTGCTATGTTAAACAATCACCAAGGGATGCAGCTACCTAATTAGCAACATACAAACACTGCGATATGTGCCATGAGTAAGTGAACAAAGGTTCAAAGCAAGTCAATAGTTGGAAAACTCAGCATCAACTCAGCATAGAGGCAGACAGTAGAAGAGCAGCAGAGACTAAATTCACTCTTGTGCTTAAAAAAAAGTGCAGTTTTCAGGAATAACATTAACATCCTCTTTCAGGAATTAGCTATTTATATATCGTAACAAACCGATTGTGGAATACATGCACCAGACAAATGCCTTGGCAAGTAGTAAGAGGTTAAGCAAGAATATTTACTGCCTATACGTATACACCATATATCTATCTGTATGTGTATACACAGGCACATAGAGCAATAAATATAAAGACATATATTCCATTGAGAGACCACAAGACTCTAGAAAGGGTTTGATGGATTTCTGGTGCTTGGGACTTCCCATCAACACCTCACTACTTCAAGGCAATCTTGCTACATAATGATTCTTTTCATCCATAGCATTTGGGAAACCTAGATCTGGTCCTAGATTAACCCTCCCTGCTTTGAAACTGTCCAGAAAGAGTTCTTTACACACGACAGCTTGTCTGCATCACATCCATCTCTAGGTGCCCATCCATGCACTGCATAATATAACCAACAGGCAAGAACACCTTCTCCAGTGTCTTCACAAACTACAGACAAGCCCTTGATGCTGAAGACAGGAAAGCCGAAAATGGCAAGTTTCAAAGGATACCAACATTAACCTTAAATAAATGAGGCAGTTTCATACCCACCTTAACGTTATCTGATTTCAACTCAAAATCCGTGTAAAGTCCTTTCATAAAGCCTGTCACTCTAATTACCTTCAAAAAAGAAGAGAATGAGTCTGTTAAGAGCTTGTGTGGCAATAGGAAATACATTGGCTTTACTTGCTTTTAGAGACAGAACTAGAGCAGGTTCAGAGCTCTGCTGTGCCTCTGCAACAAGATTTAATCCTTGCTTACGGCTCAGGCCTCCCTTCCCGTTTAAGTCCATCTCTAACCTTGGTAGTTGACGAACGCAAGAAGCTCACAACACAAACACCAGCACATGCATTTGAAAAGCAGCTCTGCATTACTCCCTTGTTGACTTCACGTCCACCATATAACACAGAGATACACGCACTATATATATATATATTTATATATACATACTCACTAGCCTAACCCACCCAACACTTACTCCCTACTCCAAGCATAGTCCCACACAGGCCCCAGAGCACCGGGGAAGTGCCGAGTCCACCCTTGCAGGCATTGGAGCTCCCACGGCCTACGGGGTCCCCCCTAAAGCGCCCATGGCCCCTGAGGGGTCCCCCACAGCCCCGAGCTCCTGTGGGACCCCTCTTCCTCCCGTATCCCCGCCCAACCCCGGCCCGCCAGGGGGCGGCCTCCGTGCAGGCAGGCACGGTGTTGCCTAGCAACCGCGCGGCGGGCCCTCAGGCCGGTGCGCGGCCCACCTCGGTGATCACGTCGTGCAGGTAGCGGAAGGGCGGCTTACTGAGCAGCCGGTCGGTGAGCGGCGGCTTGCGGATCACCCGGCCCAAGGACTCCTGCGTGAGCCGCACCACGGCCTCGTTCATAGCGGCGGCGGGACGGCGCCGCCACCGCCGCGGCCGGTCCCGAGCATTCCCGGCCTCCCCCGCGGCGCGGGGCGCCTCTCTGCGCAAGCGCAGAGCAACGGCAGGCGTTGCTAGGCACAGAGCGGCCCTAGCAACAGGAGTGAGGCCTTCGCCTCCATCCTGCTGCAGCGCCACAGCCCCTCACACTGCCATGGGAGATGCCCCTCTCCATACCCTATGGCTCACACAGCACTTGCCAACAGGCAGTGCTTGAGGGGGAAGGTGCCACAGAAGAGCTCTGACAGTTCAGGAACAGCTTTCCTGCTCTCCCCTCCAGGGACCCCCAGGCATGGCCTGAGGAGCCCAGGGCACACCAGGGCAGGGACAGGCAGTGTCTGTGCCCACGGGATGGCAGAAGGGCACTGGGGAGCAATCCCCAGGTGATAAGGGGAATGGCTTTAACCTCCCAGAGGTGAGGTTGAGATGAGCTCTTCCCTGTGAGGGTGCTGAGGCACTGGCACAGGGTGCCCAGAGAAGCTGTGGCTGCCCCATCCCTGGCAGTGTTCAAGGCCAGGTTGGACACAGGGGCTTGGAGCAACCTCCTCTAGTGGAAGGTGTCCCTGCCTGTGGCAGGGGGGTGTAACTGGAAGAGCTTTAAGCTGCCTTCCAACTCCTATCTGTGTCTCTATGATTCAGGAATGACAAGGGCTGAGTATTTTATTCCTTAATTACAAGGCAAGTTCAGCACAAATTCCCAAAGCAGAGCTCCTGGCTCTTTCCTTCCCAGTTCCTTCCATCCCCACATGCCTCTTCCCTCTTCGTGTTTGTACACCCAACGCCCTTCAGAATACATCAGCTCTGCTCCATGACCACAGAGGGAGGACTGAAGTGAGCAGTGGATGCTTTGTCACATCTCCTTCTCCTCCTGCAAACTGGGATGAGTTACAAGGAAAAGAGAACACAGAATTCTCCCATAGTAGGATTCCCAGAGTGGAACACTTGCTCTTTTACAAGTGCTGCACCAGGAGCACATACTATAGACCAACAACCACTCTTTAGCAATCCATGCTTCTCACTCTATGCCGAGCCATGCTCCACTGGTTGATTTGGGGCAGTTCCTTTGAAAGACAGACCAGATTTAATGTCATGTGCACAAACAAGGAGTTGAAATCATAGTAAGTAAATGCTAGAGCACTTTCTGAAACTAATACTTAAAAGTCCATTTCATCTGCACCAAAATCCCAAATCTCCAGCTGAACCCAGGTCTTGGCACAGAACAACCCCAATCTACTTGGGGAAACTTCTTGCACGGAGATCATATGATGTCTTGGGAATAGATTTAAACATTAAAGCTCAGTGAAGGTTGTGCCCCATCCTAGGTTAGAAATCAATTCACCCCACTCTCGAACCATGTGTCACTGAGACATACAGAGACAAACCAAATAGACATATAGAAATGGCTTTTTATTTTGTGCAGAACACTTGAAAAATAGAGATGAAAGCTTTTCCAGGCTTTGGAATATAACCATGATCAACCGTGGAATCACAACGACTCCACTTTACAAAGGTATTCCCTCTCCCCACCCCCATTTTTAAGGAACTTTCTCATTGTGGAACATCCCACAATCATTTTAAGGAAAGAAAAAGAAAAGACAATGCATTTTGAGCCAACATTAGAAATAACCCAAGACTGGTTCAGTGCAGGAGCTGCTACATTACACTTGAACAAAGGCACATACTAAAATCCCAACCTCAGCACCTGTAATCCCGACTTAAACCGCTCCAGAGGTTGTGCTTCCAAGAGACTGGAGTTACTCAAAAGTAGTGGGGAAGGTTGAGCTCAGCACAGCAGTCCAGCAAGGAACTCAAGTGGCAGCAAAGCAAGCGCAATGCAATGGGACAACCTGCAAACACAAATCTTTCTTGCTTACCTTTCTGTAAAGCCTGACTCAAGAGCACTTGGTGAGAGGGAAGGTGATGCACAGTAAGATGGGGAAAGCAACTGCTGTCCTCACTTCAGTCAGGAAATCCACCCAAAGAACTAGGGTTGCAGAGTCAAGTAAAGCCAACCTAGAGCTGAAGCAGTGGGGAAACTAAACTGTCCCCTTCTCCCACTGCACAAGTGTTGTAAACACTAGAAGAGTGTTGACAGTGATACCAAAACATCAGCTTCTACTAAACCCTGATTCTCAGCCTCAAGCACATCAGGTAATTACAGGCATCCCAAGCTTGAGATCCAATCTCACAAGCATTCCATAACCATTTTACTTGATGCTTAAGAACCTTTGATCCTGCATTCAGCGGGTGATCAGCCACGTACATCCCCTGTTACAGAGGCTGTCAGTCAGCTTTGTGACACCAGCAGTAATATTTCCATTTCCTCACATTCACCATATGAACAAATCAGAGCTATTGGAAATAGAAGAAATGAGAGAAAGTCCTCTCAAGAAGATTGAAACTAAACTAAGCTTTTGTCCAGAGTACAAAAAAACCAACATAAAACCAAACATCAGATCCACTGTTTTTTTCCATACTTTGTTAACGAAGCTTATGGTCAACAAAAAAGCCCTGCAACTTTAAAATTCAGTCTCAGCACACTGCTGTTCCATACCACAAAGAAACTCCATGGCTTACAGGTTGCAGATTCTGAACTTGCTCTTCTTTGAGCCAATTTTGTACCCTTTGCCCAGAGATTCCCATATTTTCTTCATTCCTGACTCAGCTACTTCAGGCTCAGGTTAAGAGATAAAAGCAAATCCTGGTATCACCAGTAACTTCAGTGACCAGAAATGGGAAAAAACAAAGGAAAACTGTAAAAGGAGATGATTCTGACTCCATTAAGAACCTCAGCAAACTCAGCAGTGATAGTACAAGATATCAGCTTCTGACTAAAAAAAAAACAATGGTGATTACAAAAGAGTTACCAAAAGGTTCTATAATATATTAACCCATTTTCTCATGGATAAAGTGCATTTAACTAGCCTGAGAATAAGTACCACATCAATAAAGGGATGCTAAAGAACTTCCCCAGGAGAGACTAGAAGAAAATCAGTGTTATCCTGAATCCACTTTGTCTCCGTGATTCTTCAAGACACTTCGGGGCACAGCCTCTGGCTGCTCCTGGCGAGGTTACTCCATCCCAGTCAAGTACATGGGTACTACGGTCTGGTGAGCAAATCATCTCCAGCTGCTATCTGAAAACACCCACATTGATAGAAAGAGCCACTTCTGGTTTACGGTGTTTCATGTTGAGCTTTTCCTCAGAGAAAGCCAGGTGCTGTAAGCGCTCAGCTTGCTGGCTAGTGAAATGAGAGATAAAACAAGATACCCATTATTGGTAAAGTATTATTCCACTTTTCATCAGGGACTATAGGGACAGGACAAGGGAGTGGCTTTAACCTGCCAGAGGGGAGACAGAGATGAGCTCTTAAGCAGAAGCTCTTCCCTGTGAGGGTGCTGAGGCACTGCTGGCACAGGGTGCCCAGAGAAGCTGTGGCTGCCCCATCCCTGGCAGTGCTCAAAGCCAGGTTGGACACAGGGGCTTGGAGCAACCTGCTCTAGTGGAAGGTGTCCCTGCCCGTGGGGGGGGTTGGGACTGGATGAGCTTTAAGGTCCTTTGCAACCCAAGCCAGTCTGGAATTCTATTAGTGTGAAGACTTACTTAGCTCCAACAGCAGCATGAGCCTGGACTAGAATATGATTTCCATGGAGCTGTAAGAATGACATTTCAAGCTCACCCTTGCAGGGCCAAGGCAGCCAAGGAGTTCATATTTCATCTCCAAGGGCATGATCAAACATTTCAGTGTGTTGCAGGAGAACAAACTAAGGCTAGGGGTAGGACCACAGCACTTAAAGCCAGGAGTTTCAATTACCTGAACACCACTTCCTTGAGGAACAGTGGAATTGCATGCTCTAAGAGCACCCAGCTAGCATTGTCCTAAAAATTTATGTAAGTATGAAGCTAGGCTGAAAAGCAGCAAAGAACAGTATTGATGTTTCTAATGAAGAAGAAATGTCAGGACTCAATACCTTTTCTTCTTTTCTAATGTAAGCTGCCTTTGTTTCTCTTTCCCAATGTCATCTCTCAGTGTGCTAAAGTCCTTTGTGTCATCAAGGAGAAGGTTCTGGTGTGGAAAAAGATTTGGTAGATGAAAAGTTTGAAGCTTAAAACTATCTCCCACCTGTTGCTCAGTTACAGAGGGAGTATTCAGAGCATTTCTCCTAACAACTGTGACAGCCATTCACTTCCAAGTTAAGTTAAGTGGAAAAACACAACAAGGCAAAACAGTTTGTTGACTCCTCTGTTTTTGCATTTAACAGTGAATTTGCCTTATTCAGAGACTATATCCCACTGCATAGTTCTTTTGGACAGAATTAAACAGATCTGTAAAAATTCTTTGGATAAGGTAACGGGTTGCAATTTACAAGATGATTTTTAAAGGGTTCTTGGGTTTTACTCAGAGCTGACAAAAAACCCAATAGTGAATAAAATGAGGGCAAAAAGAAAGATCCAGTTTCTTTTGGACAGGATTTAAGAGTAGATTAGAAAGTGACTGCCTGCACTGGGAGCTGCACCAGAGCCTCTAGAGTACTGCCTTCTAGTGCCAGCACCCAGATCTAAGAGGGAAAAGCATGAAACTTTCATCAGGTTGCTAAAGAACAGGAGAAAAAGACAAAAAAGCACCAGTAGCAACAGTTTTCCTACCTACACAGTGTTTTGTCCATACTCGCATCCCAGTACTTCCATGGAGACGTAGCAGGATGCATGAAACTCAGGAAGAGGTTACGATACAGCAATGGCGGTAGTACTTGCACCTAATCCTTGTGAAACAATGAAAGCCAAGTTCATTTACCTTCACCCCAATGACATCTCCATCCTTCAGGTGGTACGGTGCTGCCTGTAAACTCTCTAGCTTTTTCTTCCTTTTCCTCTTGGAGATTTTCTGTGTCTGAAGAAAATCAAAGCAGAAGATTCCTACATCAGAAATCTGCTTTAACACGTTAGCTCAAGAACTGCAGCACAAGCCAACACATACTTCTCCCACCCATAC